GCATGTAGATGGCCAACAGGCACATGAAAAGATGCTCAACATCAATAATTATCAAGGAAATGGAAATCAAAACCACAATGAGACACTACTTCACAGTTGTCAGAGCAACTATTATCAAAAACACAAAAAATAACAGGTGCTGGAAAGAATGTGGAGAGAGGAGAATCCTCATGCCCTGTTGGTAGGAATATAAGTTGGTGTGACTACTATACAAAACAGCACAGAGGTTCCTCAGAAAATTAAAAATAGAACTATCATGTGATCCAACGATTCCACTTCTGAGTATTTCTCTGGAAACACAACAAAAACACTAACTCAGGAAGATATTTGCAGCATTATTTGCAATTTACAATAGCCAAGATATGGGAATAATTCACATGTTCATACATAGAATCTAGAAAACAAAACAGGGACAAATAAAACAAAACAGAAACATAATCATAGTTGCAGAGATCAAACTGTTGGCTGCTGGAGGGGAGGGAGTTTGAGGGGCAGCCAAAATAGGTGAAAGAGATTAAGAGATACAAACATCCAGTTATAAAAGAAGTAAGTCATGGGTATGCAAAGTAGAGCATAAGGAATATGGTCAATAATATTGTAATAACTTTGCTTGGTGACAGATGATAACTATACTTCTCTTAGTGACCAATTCAAAATGTATATGTGTATATATATTTATATACATATTTCAGCTTTCTATAAAGCTGAGCACTGAAGAATTGATGCTTTTAAACTGTGGTGTTGGAGAAGACTCTTGAGAGTCCCTTAGACTGCAAGGAGATCCAGCCAGTCCATCCTAAAGGAAATCAGTCCTGACTGTTCATTGGAAGGACTGATGCTGATGCTGAAACTCTAATACTTTGGCCACCTGATACAAAGAACTGACTCATTGGAAAAGACCTGGATGCTGGGAAAGATTGAAGGTGGGAGGAGAAGGGGACAACAGAGGATGAGATGGTTGGATGTCATCACTGACTCAGTGAACATGAGTTTGAGTAAACTCTGGGAATTGGTGATGGACAGGGAGGCCTGGCGTGCTGCAGTCCATGGGGTCGCAAAGAGTTGTCAGACATGGCTAAGAGACTGAACTGACTGACTGATATATATATATATATATATATATATATATATATATATATATATATATATATAAAATCACTATGATGTACACTCGAAACTAATAGAATGTCTTATGTTATACTTTGATTTTTTTAAAAAGGCATTGATGGAAGCATTTTTAGGAAGTTTGGTTCAAATAATGAGCTAGAAAAAGCAATAGGTAGATGTTTTAGATAATTATAGGAGGGATGTTGTTTTGTTTTTTTAAGGTTGAAAGAGAATTGAGCTTATTTCTATGCTGTGGGAAATGAACCATAGAGATGAGCAGAATGAGTGGTGGTGAGTAAAATAAATGAAGATCCAAGAGGCAGATGAGATGATGGGACCCAAACCACCAGCCTGATGAACGATCTAAGCCTTGGACGGGGGAGAGGGTCTCTCACCCTCTGTGAATTGGGAAGGTGGTGAATACAGGTCAGGGTAAAGATACTTCTGTAGGGGCTGTGTGAGTGGGAGTAGAAGGTCTTTATTTTTGATTGCATAATTTTTTGGATGGACACAAAAAAGAGGTAGTATTTTTTAAGACTTTGAAAGGAATGGAAGAAAAACTACCAAGAAGCTGAAGTTTAAAGTTGGGAACTATTGATTTGTTTGTACTCATCAGTCCTAGAGTGTCATAATACTTATCAGTAGTTTTCAGCTGCCGTGTGAACGAAAATGACAGGTTAATAGAGGATTAGGGTCTGAATGGCAGTAATGAGTAAAAGATGTGGGTGCGTGGGGATTGAGGGGACAATAGGTCCCATCTGAGTAGGGCAGGAAGGAAACCAGGAGAGGAGCAAAACCCGGGAGAGAGCTGAGAGATGATGAAGGTATGTATTTGGTTGAAGAGGAAGTTGAGGAACTTCCCTGGTGGCCCAGTGGTTAAGAATCTGTCTTTCAATGTGGGGGACGCAGGTTCAATCCCTGGTCAGGAAACTAAGGTCCCACATGCTGTGGAGCAACTAAGCCTGTGAGCAGCAATTAGAGAAAGCCCACCCCCTTCAGCGAAGACCCATTGCAGCCAAAACTAAATAAATAAGAAAGCTGAGTTTGTGAAAGAGCCTAAAGGAGGTGAGTTTGTTATCAGAGAACAGAACACTGGATTTTAAGATTTCTGACAGAGCAATTGAATTATCTGTCCTTGGGTTGGGGAAGGTGAAATGGAAGGAAAGACTCCAGATTTGAGATTGAAGGACTTTGAAATTAGTCCTTCAATATACGTGAACACAAATTTCATTCAAGATAATAGTGACACTTGAGTTGAAGAAGAAAATTTTGAGCCTGATCAAAGTCTTCCCAGGCAGAGAGAAAACAGGTTAATCTTTATACTCCTCTGTTAGCTGAGGTTCCTTTGAAGAGGAGGTACTATAATATTCTTAGAGGAAAAAAGAATGTCCTATTTTTAGATAAGGAAAGGGCTTTCCTTATGACAGGAGGAGCAAGAAACATTTTATTTAGAGGCTGAGAATATAGAAGAGTGCTTAATATGGAAGGAGAGTTTCAGAAAGCAAAGAGAAAATGTTTGAGGGTATGAGTACAACTCTTGTAATGTAAAAAAAAAAGTGATTTAACTTTTATTGCAACTGTATTTCCCGGATTTGCCCACACAACCCTTGTTTGCATAGCACCTATTAAGTTCTTACAGAAGTAGTGCTGTGTGGATTTCATCTTGGGAAACCTTGGCAGACCACTCAAGGATAGCGGGGTTCAGAGGCATTCCTCAATGGAGTTGATGCCAAGTCACGGCGAATTCAACTCTAAAGGTGTCTGGAGGGCACTGTTTGGACAACGATGAGGCAGCTTCAAGGCCACCCAATTTGTTGGTTGTTATCCTGGCCATTTTTCTTTTCAACTCAGCTAAATCGAAAACTCCATGAAATCAAGGACCGTTCCTATTTCTTTACATTGCCACAACATTTGGGTTATTATTGAGCATATTGATAAATACTAAACAAGTATTTGTTTTTATTGAAGCTTGCAATGAATTTTAAAAAATTGCAACTTAGGTTTGATTTCTTGTTTCATTCTACCTTTATTGGAGATTTATTTTCTGTTTAGGTATTTAAAAATTTTTTGGCAGCTCCATGCAGCAAATACCATCTTAGTTCCCCAACCAGGGATTGAACCCATGTCCTCTGTGTTGGAAGTGTGCCATCATAACCACTTGACTGAGAGGGGAGTCTTCATTTAAGTTTTTAACCTAATGTTAAATACCCAAATGTGTTGGAACTGATTGTCAATTTTTAATAATAATCTTTATTTACACGCTTCAATGTCTTGTATACCTATATACATTCTCTCTTTGCTAATTTTGATGAAAAAAGAATATTTGTTGTTGATGTTGAGTAAAATACTTACCCCAATTATTAGAAGTAAACAAAATAAAAAGAAGGAGCTGGGCAGATTTGACAGGTATGTAACTAAATCAGTCACTTAAAAATGATCCTTTTTTTTAGAGTACGAATTAAAACTTAATTAGAAGTGTAAGATTTTTGACTGAAGAGTTTATAAGACTATCAGAAAATTACTCTTGAGAATTATTTAATTAGCTTATATAATATAGTAACTTTGTGTATAGAAGATAATATGTAAGTATAAATGTATCATGGGGCTTTTCAGGTGGCTCAGTGGTAAAGAATTCACCTGCCAATGCAGGAGATGTGGGTTCAGTCCCCATCCCTGGGTTGAGAAGATGCCCTGGAGAAGGGAATGGCAACCCACTCCAGTATTCTTGCCTGGAGAATTCCATGGACAGAGGAGTCTCAAGGGCTATAGTCCATGGGATCACAAAAGAGTCAGACATGACTGAGCCACTAACCACCACCACCAACAATAAATGTATAATACATACATAAATGTGTAAAATTTATTATTGTAGGAATAAAAATATAATGTGCAATATTTATACTTATACAAAAGATCAAGAGAGTCATGCATATACATTATTGGATTCCACTGTGGTATATACAAATAAAGATATAAAAGAGTTGAAGATTTTAACTATGAAAAATTCTGGTACAGTTATGGATTGTATTTGAGTTTGCATTTTTTAAAATATTAATAGTATATGTCATGTTTTCATTAATACTCTCCCATGAGGGCACTCACCCTCAGGAAATGCAAGAAAAAGTAAGGGCACTGGCAGAAACCTCCAGCCTCTGGATTATTTGATATACTGTCCTCCAATGTTAGCAGAGTGTATTCTGCTTACTTAGGTCAGAGTTCCCACGTTTATTGATGAGCTCTACCTCTTTTCATAGAGTGCTTTCACAGTATAACTAAGCCCAGACTAACCTCACTACAGAGGTGAGGATATAGAAGCTCAGAAATCTGTTGTCATGAAAGTCCCCACGCAATCTTCCTCTCCTGAAGAAGAGCCAGTGTCTTTGAGAACCCTGGGCCATCCACGTATTGAATCTTCATGCCCCCTGATGAAACAGATTTTGACCTGCAGGCCTTTAAGCTCAGGTTTGGTTGATTTGGAAAACTGTGTTTGATGAACCTCTGTGTAACCATGGAAACCTTCTCAGGCCCCTGGACACAGAAGTCAGGCGAGCATGCTATATTGGATGCTTGCTTTTCTTCCACTCATTTCCCCATTGCAGTGTCCGTGAAAATATTTACTTATAAACCTTCCTCAGTCAGGCTAAGTAGAAAAGCAGATTCTACCTAGACTAATCTTCCCATGGATACAGGAGAAAAGATGAAAGCCTTTTCCTTAAAGGTTAGAAAAGCAAAAACACTATGACAAAGATTTCAGTAAAGCTTTATTTCTACTTGGAAGAAGCATGCCTGGTTTTAGAATTTAGAAGTTCATAGTCATGTTCCCAATAATATATAGCTCACATTTCACAAGTCAACATTACTGGAGGTTTCAATAACCATTTTTAATCATTTAGGCTTCAAGGAGATAACCTGGCAGAAAGGACAGAAGAGACTTCGCAAATACTTCAATCTCCAGATGAAGTAGTCCCAGATTCTTTGGGTGAGTTTTAAATCCAACAAGATATATTGTGATTTTAGTGTCAGTTAAAGATGTCTTTAAAAAGAAAACTAGACCAAGCATCTTTGCCTACACCAAATCACATAGTTGTCAGTCATCCGCCCACCACTCCTGCAGGTTTTGTGTATCAGGAAGCTAAGGGCAAAGGAGAAAAACAAGTGTGAGAGCAGCCTCTTAATTCCTGTGCCTGTTTAAGGTACAGGGTGACTACATTTTCTACTCTCAGATTTTGTCACTAATTCCAACTTGGTTTTGGAACTTAAATCACCTACTCCCATTCTCATTTTGTGGATCTTTTCAGTTTTCTGGGCAGATTGTCAATATCAGACTTGATTTACTTTCACCTCTCTCAGCCCTATATTAAACTGAACTCAAATCATGTCAATGTCACCAAGCCAGTCTCGTTTCCCCCCAGACTGCCTAGTCTATGCCTTTGTCCTTCTCCATCTAGTATAAGAGCTCTGTAAATAGATTTTCCTTGTACAATCTCACCCATTTGGTTCATTATATTTCTAAAAATAAAAAAGGGAAGGAATTGCTATTTCTTCCCCATTTTCTGTAGAACAAAATTCAAACTCCTTGGCTTAGCATATTAAGTTCATGCCAGGGCACTTCAAGATGTTTGCCGAATATATAAATAAGTACATGTAATGACACTACAGTGGCATGTCAGGTATATCACTGCTTCATCATTCATTGTTCTAGCAGGAAGCAGTCCATACATCCAATTGTAATAATTAGAAGAGAAACAATGGGAAAACATTTTCCTTACACCTGGCTAGAGAAGGACATCTTAAACAAGATGCAAAAATTCCTAAATATTAAAAAAGCTCAATAGTGTTAAGAATTCTTAACACTTAATTCTTAATAAGAATAAGAATTCTTATTCATCAAAACATGGCAGAAATAAAAGAGGTTGATAAGCTACAAAATAGGAAACTATATTTGTCACTGATCAAAGATTAATATTCAGGATATGTAAAGTATATCTATAATTCAGTAAACAAAGGATCAGCAAACCAATAGAAAAATAAGCAATAGATATTTCACAGGACGGGAAACACAAATGGCCAATGAGCATATGAAAAATGTTTTACTCTAGTAACTAAGGAAAAGTAAGGTCCTTGAGAGATGCTGTTTTATGACTTTTTACGTGACACTGAGAAATCTGACAAAAATCAAGTGCTGGTGAAGACAGAGACAAAAAGAAAATCATACAACAGCTGGGGCATAAACAATTTTGAAAATAGTTTTCCATTATCCTAAAATCTGAGTGAAGCCCAGAAACTTCACTTCTGGATAAATATGTTAGAAAGCAAGTCTCATGTACCATGAAATGTAAGCAAATTTGTTCGTATGATGGTGGACAGGAAAATGGATAAATTGTGGGATTGTTATACTGTGGGAAACTGAATGCATGTCAGCTACATGCATAGGATGGATGATATAAGTGGTATGCTGGTAAATGTTAACAGCTGTCTGAAAATGAAAAGCCCTGGTTTGTAGAGATTGCTGGTTTCCATGATATGCTGCTGCTGCTGCTAAGTCATGTCAGTCGTGTTCGACTCTGTGCGACCCCATAGATGGAAGCCCACCAGGCTCCCCTGTCCTGGGATTCTCCAGGCAAGAATACTGGAGTGGGTTCCATTTCCTTCTCCAATGCATGAAAGTGGAAAGTGAAAGTGAAGTCACTCAGTCGTGTCTGACTCTTAGCGACCCCATGGACTGCAGCCCACCAGGCTCCTCCGTCCGTGGGATTTCCCAGGCAAGAGTACTGGAGTGGGGTGCCATTGCCTTTTCCTTCCATGATATAAATATAATATAAATGCTGACTTCAAGCCACCCATCTGAAGTGGCATTTGGGCCTTCCAGTCTTGTGTGAGTAGGTTGCAACTCACAACTGAATGAATCTTAAAAGCATCATATTTGTTTAAAAAAAAAAAAGGACTTGTAAAAATACATATCTCAATAAAATAAAATTTGTCTATTAAAAAAGCATAATATTGATTGAACAAAAGCAGTCATAGAATGTCATTTTTCTAAGGCTCAAAACTAGTAAATCTAAGTAGTATATTCTTTAGGAAAACATACATTAAGTGGTACAATTATATTGAAAGAAGGGAATGAAAAACTTGAAATGGTGGCTATTCTTAGGGATAGGGGAAGAAAAGAGATGGGATTAGGAAGGAATTCATAGGTATATGAGGGTTATTAGAAGTGTTCTAATTCTTAAGTCAGGTGGTAGATTTGGGGTGTTTATTATATCATTGTGATTTGTAACTTAAATATATACATTATTTTGCATGTATATTTTAAATATACTTTTTATATATCAAATATTAAAAACATGTAAATAAATGTTAAAAAATAAGGTATCATAGGAACATAAACCAGGACCAATGTAGCACAATACTAAAAAGAAGGTAATAGTTTCTGCACACTCAACTCTTTCCTAGTGCTGATAAGATGAAACACTCTCAGGACAGACATTAATACTTGATAGTGAAAAGTGTGTACTGTGTCACTAGCAACTTAGGGGTCCAAGCTGGCAGTTAGTGGACACTCCATTAGTTTTTAGAGTCAGCCTGGTTTCTCCTCTCTGCTCTTCTTGCGAGTGTCCATTTACTTAAGCCATTCTTCTTTGACTCATAGTAATTTCTTTCTCTTGTCATCTGCCTATTCAGAGCCTGTGTGTTAAGATGATGTCAGGTCTCTCTGAAGTCCAGTTCACAAGCAATGTTTTCTTCTTTTTTCTTTTTTTAATAGTGTATATATGTCAATTCAAATCTTGCAATTCATCCCATCCCCCTTTCCCCCTGATTATCCATACTTTTGTTCTTTACATCTATGTCTCTATTTCTGCTTTGTAAATAAGATCGTCTATACCAATTTTTTCAGATTCCACATATATGCATTAATATATGTTTTTCTGACTTACCTCAGTCTGTATGACAGTCTCTATGTCCATTCATGTCTTAACAAATGATCCAGTTTTGTTCCTTTTATAACTGAGTAATAGTCTATTGTATATGTGATATATATATATTATATTTCACAACTTTATCCATGCTTCTGTCAATAGACATTTAGGTTGTTTCCATGTTGTGATTATAGAAGACATACAGTTGACAAACAGACACATGAAAAGATGTTCAGCATCACTAATTATTAGAGAAATGAAAATCAAAATTACAGTGAGGTATCATCTCGTACCAGTCAGAATGGCTATCATCAAAAACTCTAAAATGTACAAAAAATCTACAAAAAAATAAACAATGAATTCTGGAGAGGATGTGAAGAAAAGGGAATACACTTGTACTGTTGGTGGGAATGCAAATTGATAAAATCACTACGGACAACAGAATGGAGGTTCCTTTAAAAACTACAAATAAAATTACCATGTGACCCAGCAATCCCACTACTGGGCATATACCCAGAGAAAATCATAATTCAAAAAGATACATGTACCCCAGTGTTCATTGCAACACTATTTACAATAGCCAGGACATGACAACAGCAAAACCTAAATGTTTTCTTGTTTTCAGCCCCTAATTGTTCTTGAATTACTTCTTGTGTTTTTATTGTCTCATCAATTGGATTATATGCTTCTTGAGAGTTTCTTGTGTTCTTCACCATGCTCAATATAAAACTAGATACAAAACAGGTATTACTACTGGCCCATTATATATATATATATATATATATATATATATATATATATATACACACACACACACACATGTATAAATAGATATGGAGAAGGAAATGGCAACCCACTTCAGTATTCTTGCCTGGAAAATTCCATGGACAGAGGAGCCTGGTGGGCCACAGTCCATGGGGTTGCAAAGAGCTGGCTGACTGAGCGACTGAGCGCGCGCACACACACACACATGCTTCTGAATTCTATCAAAACTACTACAATCCACTGATCTACAGATAATATATCCTTCAACAATCACATTTACATCATAACTGAGTATTGTTGGGACTTAAATTTTTTAGAAAATTAAACAAGGAGATCAGTAATATGTTGATTATAGTTACTTGCACTCACTGGGGGAAAAAGGGACTCATTAAGCTTAAGCTCCTTTCTTGAACTTCGTAGATCCTGCATTCTTCACATTCAGAAGTTAGAGGACTAATCAACAAATTCCGAGATACGCTGTCTGGTTCAGTACATTCTTTTCTACTTAAGTTATTCAGATCGCTAGATCCAAAGTGCTAATGTGATTTTTATGTCAACTAGGCATCCACATTGAACTTGGCTCAATAAACAAATATTTCCATGAGCAGGTGTAACTTTGTGCTTTAAAAAAACCTGTTGTGACACAAACAGCAAAAGTATAAATAATGACAGGAAGTCATTAAATGAAGTTAACATCATTGACAAATCCTATAGATCTCTAGGTTCTTACCGGCAGGCCCCATCGACCACAGAGACTAAGTTTCAAGTGCAAGTGGTGCCAGAGACTGTTAGATTTTGATAAAATTACTTTATATTTCTGTTCTTCAGTTTCTTCTCTCAAGTGAGGAGATAAACTAACATTTGATAAATTTAGAGACTCATTTTTCATTTTCCTTTCCATGTGATTCAAAAAAGCTCAAAAAACTCATAGCTTGTATTTTGAAAATCATTTATATTAATACTTGGAAAAAATTTCTCTGGAATAGACATCATTTTCCTTTCCATGTGATTCAGAAAAGCTCAAAAAAACTCATAGCTTATATTTTGAAAATCATTTATATTAATACTTAGAAAAAATTGCTCTGGAATCGACAGAGCAACATAGTTTACACAGATGTGCCTGCCAATAGTTGGTAATAAGCAGTGTACTCAGAGCACGTTAAAAATGAAGTGCACCTCTCCAAGCATTAAACACTAAGGTGTTTTTTATTTTTTTTTAAATTAGAGTATAGTTGGTTTTTAATGTTGTGTTGCTTTCTGCTGTAGAGTTGAATGGATCAGTTGTATGTATGTATACATATTTCCGCTCTTTTTTTGGATAAGCTTCTCATTTAGATCACCACAGAACATTGAGTTCCCTGTTCTATACAATAGGTTCTCACTAGTTATCTATACATAGTATCATATATCTATCTATACATAGTATAGATACTACTATCTATACATAGTATCAATAGTGTATATATGTCAGTCCAATATCCCAATTCATTCTGCGCCACCCTTAACCTGCACAGGTATCCATACATTTGTTCTCTGCGTCTGTGTCTCTATTTCTGCTTCACAAATAAGATCAGCTATACCGTTTTTCTAGATCCTATGTATATGTGTTAATATACAAATTTTGTTTTTCTCTTACTTCACTCTGTATGACAGTCTCTAGGTCCGTCCTGTTTTCATGACATTTTTTGTTCCAAGTAGCTTATTATACTGCTATTCTATCACTAGATTTGGGCTATTTAGAAGGATCCTTTCTACTTAGCAACTATAAATTTGGTTAGATATGTAAATATGGTCAGATATGTAAATATGATGGATATGTAAATTTTCTAATATTCTGGTGCACTTCACACCTCACCACACTGTAGGTCGCACTAGATGTGGCACCAATAACCAGGAAAAATTGAACCAAAACAAGAACAGAACAAAATGTAAAACCATTGCCAAGCCTTTTACAAATGTTAATTTTTATTTTAAAAAATCCATATTGTGTAAAGGTGTTCAAGTAAACTCCAAGAGAGCAAGCCATAGAAGATTGTCTTGCTCAAGTTGTTTTTTTTTTCTTTTCAAAATTTTATACTGATCATTTTATTTCTTTTTGTATACAGTGAAACCTTAAAAGCAATGGTGAATAAGAATGGCAGTGGCATACACCCTCTGTTGTTCCTAATCTATTTAGGTTTTACCTCTAAGTAACAAAAATTTTTCTGTTACATTGTCTTCTGTTAACTTGATAATCGTATCTTCCACATTTATTTCTCTGATTCATTTTGAGTCTGTCATTGTATTTGAGGTTAAATAGAGATCATATTTTATTTTTCTCTGTAGAGTGAGTCAACACCATCTCTATATTGTCTGTTCTTTCAACATAAATTTGTGGTACCGTTTTATCAAAAACTAAGCTCTTATGGGTTTAGACCTAAAAATTCTATTCTGCCCATTGAACTATTTGTCCATTATTGAGTTGTACCATGTTTTTTTGTTGTTGTTGTTTTAGCAGATCTTCATATTCTTTTTTAAAAAGTTAATTTATTTATTTTAATTGGAGGTTAATTACTTTACAGTATTGTAGTGGTTTTTGCCATACATTGACATGAATCAACCATGGATTTACATGTGTTCCCCATCCTGATCCCCCCTCCCACCTCCCTCCCCATCCCATCCCTCAGGGTCATCCCAGTGCATCAGCCCTGAGCACCCTGTCTCATGCATCCAACCTGGACTGGTGATCTGTTTCACATATAATAATATACATGTTTCAATGCTGTTCTCTCAAATCATCCAACCCTCACCTTCTCCCAGAGTCCAAAAGTCTGTTCTTTACATCTGTGTCTCCTTTCCTATCTCACATATAGGGTCATCATTACCATCTTTCTAAATTCTATATATATGCATTAGTATACTGTATTGGTGTTTTTCTTTTTGACTTACTTCACTCTGTATAATAGGCTCCAGTTTCATCCACCTCATTAGAACTGATTCAAATGCATTCTTTTTAATAGCTGAGTAATATTCCATTGTGTATATGTACCACAACTTTCTTATCCATCCGTCTGCCGACGGACATCTAGGTTGCTTCCGTGTCCTGGCTATTTTAAGCAGTGCTGTGATGAACATTGGGGTACACATGTCTCTTTCAGTTCTGGTTTCCTTGGTGTATATGCCCAGCAGTGTGATTGCTTGGTCATATGGCAGTTCCATTTCCAGTTTTTTTTCAGGAATCTCCACACTGTTCTCCACACTGTTCTGCACAGCGGCTGTACTAGTTTGCATTCCCACCAGTAGTGTAAGAGGGTTCCCTTTTCTCCACACCCTCTCCAGCATTTATTGTTTGTAGACTTTTTGATAGCAGCCATTCTGACTGGCATGAAATAGTACCTCATTGTGGTTTTGATTTGCATTTCTCTGATAATGAGTGATGTTGAGCATCTTTTCATGTGTCTGTTAGCCATCTGTATGTCTTCTTTGGAGAAATGTCTGTTTAGATTTTTGGCCCATTTTTTGATTGGGTCATTTATTTTTTCTGGAATTGTTGCTCAACTTGTTTTAATGGCTCCTAGTTAAAAATGTGGCATATAGTATTATTTTATAGTATTTCCAACTATAAAAATCCTAGCAAATCCAAAAGAGAGTGAGTTTTCTTCTGTAAATGTAATAATTTGCTTTATGATGTAGGGTAGGACATTTTAATACTATTGTCAATATTCCACACAAATAGCAATTTCAACATATAATAAAATGGAAAAAATACCGAGTGAATACTAAAATTATGGTAATATTTGATCACAGTTCAGCAGAATATAATTTAGTCTTGGGGGACTTAAATTATGCTAATTTATACATTTTAAAGTAAAGAATCTATCTATTGTCACATTTATTATGGGGTTTTAATAGATAGGGATTCAAGTTTCCTTCATTAATGGATTAATATTTTTAATGTGGTACAATTCTCATCACTTATCCTGATTTTTTTTGCTTAAATATAAAATTCTGAATTATTGCAGCTAGAGCTCCATGATTCAGAAATTGTGATTATGGATTTGTGCTAAGCTTTCCATTGTCTCTCTGGTCTTGACTGGCCATTAAGGACTCAGGGGATTTAAGGCTCTAATTTTCTTCTCAGAGCATACATTTTATGAAACAAAAAAAAAAAATCTGTGTCCACTTGTGTGTGTGAATGTGTAGGAAGGTCTTCTTTAAGGATGCATATAGCTCTTTAAAACATTAATAAATATAATCAATTAATGTTTAAAGCTTCCAGTGATTTAAAATACCCTCCTTATAACTGATGTTTTTATTTGAATGGAAGGTATTAAAACACAAGCTATTTCTAGATGCTCTATGTATATATCTCTGTTGAAGAATTCTCTAGAGCCTGTAGAAATCTTTGTTGTTATAATTAATTTAGCAGACATATGGAAAAGTTTACCATCTTTTTATTCACATATTTGAAAGTCATTAAATACCCACTCATCAATCTAGTCAAACAAATAATATCAGCTTGTTCCTTGATACATTAAAATGGAATACTAACCATCATTTAATAATAAGTACTCTTCTCCCATAGTGATAGTGGTAAAGAACCCGCCTGCCAGTTCAGGTGATGAAAGAGACACAGATTCAGACTCTGAGTTGGGACGATTCCCCTGGAGGTGCACGTGGCAACCCACTCCAGTGTTCTTGCATGGAGAATCCCATGGACAGAGTCTGGTGGGCTGTAGTCCATGGAGTCACAAAGAATTGGACATGACTTAGCAATGAAATAACAACAACAGCCTTTCTCCCAACTTTTCAGAGTTGTTCATCCTGTTTAAAAGAGAGAATACAAATTGGAATTTAAATACTGTGGCCCCTCAAAAAAAACCAGTTGATGGATAAAGCAAATAAAAAATTACAAGGCAGAAAAAGAACATTAAGTTCCAACAATTAGCTAAATAATATGCCAAAAGAAGAGTTGATCTGACAAAGATGACTGCAGCTCTTGCACAGTCCTGACTTCATTGAACCCTTTTAAATGGGCTTCCCAGGTGGCACTAGTGGTAAAGAACCCGCCTGCCAATGCAGGAGATGTAAGAGATGCAGGTTCGATCCCTGGGTCAGGAAGATCCCTGGAGAAGAAAATGGTGACCCACTCCAGTATTCTTGCCTGGAGAATCCCACAAACAGAGGAACCTGGCAGGCCACAGTCCATAGGGTTGCAAAAAGTTGGACATGACTGAAGCAACTGAGCATGCAAATTAGAAATGCTAAAGGTTTGCATACATTCTCTCTATGCTAAATAAAAAACACTACATACTATTTTAAATCTCAAATACTATGATTTTTCAACATCCTGTTCAGTTACTTTCATATCCTTCCCATGATAAGTTTATATATCAGAGAGTTTATGATTTATATATAAAAATTGTATCATATATAAACATATATCAGATAAGTTCATATATTAAGCAATATGTGACTCCAACTTATTCTTTTTTTTCTAACTTATTCATTCTTTTTGTGAAAATAGATTCTTTACCTGGGAATGAAGAAGCACTAATGGAAGAGAGTGAAGAATTTGAGAAAGCATCTAAATTAACAGGACCTGTAAGTACATTCATTGACTTAATTTTATCTCTAAAATGTATATCTTAACTAATGTATATCTTAACAGGAACATCTAAAAGGAATAGAAAGAAATAGGAAGCAATGTCATTTAAAGAATATGTTAAAATGTGCCTCCAGTATAGCCCACATAGTCATGGAGATGCTCCTTTAAGTAAGTGGTCAGCTTGATTATAGGTACATAGCAAAGCTACAAAGTTGCACTGAGCTCTTTCAGCAATTGGAGAAGAAGAGTTGAATAAAGGGGTGGGGAACCTAAGTCCTGGTATTATTAACTGCTTGGTTGTGCACATGAATATTCTAAAAGATTATGAGCTGCTATCTCAAACTTCAATAAATCAATCCACTCCAGTACTCTTGCCTGGAAAATCCCATGGATGGAGGAGCCTGGTAGCCTGCAGTCCATGGGGTCGCTAAGAGTTGGACAGGACTGAGCAGCTTCACTTTCACTTTTCACTTTCATGCATTGGAAAAGGAAATGGCAACCCACTCCAGTGATCTTGCCTGGAGAATCACAGGGACAGGGGAGCCTGGTGGGCTGCCATCTATGGGGTCGCACAGAGTTGGACACGACTGAAGCAACTTAGCAGCAGCAACAGCATATCATGATAGAAAAATAAATGTTTTCCATATCCTGGAAGTTCACATATAACTTAAAGTGAAAGTCGCTCAGTCATGTCCAACTCTTTGTGACCTCGTGGACTCTACAGTCCATGGAATTCTCCAGGTCAGAATACTGGAGTGGGTAGCCTTTCCCTTCTCTAGGGGGTCTTCCCAACCCAGGGATTGAAGCCAGGTTTCCCAAATTGCAGGCTAATTCTTTAACAGCTGAGCCACAGAGGAAGCCCAAGGACCGGAGTGGGTAGCCTATCACTTCTCCAAGGGATCTTTCTGATTGCAGGGGGATTCTTTATCAACTGAGCTATCAGGGAAGCCCAGGTATAACAAGTATGATATTATTAGTTGTGAAGTCCTTCTGATATTTTGATTAAACTATATCTCTTCCACAAAGTACATTGGGAGGAAACCATTCAGTTCAGTTCAGTCACTCAGTCGTGTCCAACTCTTTGCGACCCATTGACTGCAACATGTCAGGCTTCCCTGTCCATCACCATCTCCCGGAGCTTGCCCAAACTCATGTCCATTGAGTCAGTGATGCCATCTAACCGTCTCATCCTCTGTCGTCCTCTTATCCTCCTGCCTGCAATCTTTCCCAGCATCAGGGTCTTTTCTAATGAGTCAGTTCTTGGCATCAGGTGGCGAGACTATTGGAGTTTCAGATATAGCATCAGTCCTTCCAATAAATATTCAGGATTGATTTTCTTTAGGATTGCCTGGTTGGATTTCCTTGCAGTCCAAGGGACTCTCAAGAGTCTCCTCCAAAACACAGTTCAAAAGCATCTATTCTTCAGTGCTCAGCTTTCTTTATAGTCCAACTCTCACATCCATATGACTACTGGAAAAAATATAACTTTGACTAGATGGACATTTGTTGGCAAAGTAATGTCTCTGCTTTTTAATATGCTGTGTGGGTTAGTCATAGCTTTTCTTTCAAGGAGCAAGCATCTTTTAATTTCATGGTTGCAGTCACCATCTGCAATGATTTTGGAGCCCAAGAAAATAAAGTCTATCACTGTTTCCATTGTTTCTCCATCTATTTGCTATGGAGTGATGTGACCAGATGCTGTGAACTCTGTTTTTTGAATGTCGAGTTTAAGCCAGCTTTTTCATTCTCCTCTTTTCACCCTCATCAAGAGGCTCTTTAGTTCCTCTTTACTTTCTGCCATAATGGTGGTGTCATTGTATATCTGAGGTTATTGATGTTTCTCCTGGAAATCTTGATTCCAGCTTGTGCTTCATCCAGCCCAGCATTTTGCATGATGTACTCTGCATATAAGTTAAATAAGCAGGGTGACAATATACAGCCTTGACATACTCCTTTCCCAATTTGGAACCAGTTTTTTGTTCCATGTCTGATTCTAACTGTTGCTTCTTGACCTGCATACAGATTTCTCAGGAGGCAAGTAAGGTGGTCTGGGCTTTGGTGTAATCAATAAAGCAGATTTTATTTTTTTAATTCTCTTGCTTTTTCTATGATTCAACAGATGTTGGCAATTTGATCTCTAGTTCTTGTACCTTTTCTAAATCCAGCTTGAACATCTGGAAGTTCACAGTTCATGTACTGTTCAAACCTGGCTTGGAGAATTTTGAGCATTACTTTGCTAGCGTGTGAGATGAGGGCAACTGTGTGGTAGTTTGAGCATTCTTTGGCATTGCCTTTCTTTGGAATTGGAATGAATCTGACCTTTTCCAGTCCTGTGGGCACTGCTGAGTTTTTCCAAATTTGCTGCATATTGAGTGCAACACTTTCACACCATCTTTTAGGATTTGAAATAGCGCAGCTGGAATTTCATCACATCCACTGGCTTTGTTCATGGTGATGATCCCTAAGGCCCACTTGACTTCACATTCCAGGATGTCTGGCTCTAGGTGAATGATCACACCATCGTGGTTATCTGGGTCATGAAGATCCTTTTTGTAGTTCTGTATATTCTTGCCACCTCTTCTTTAATATCTTCTGCTTCTGTTAGGTCCCTCCCATTTCTGTCCTTTACTGTGCTCATCTTTCCATGAAATGTTCCCTTGGTATCTCTAATTTTCTTGAAGAGATCTCTAGTCTTTCCCATTCTATTGTTTTCCTCTATTTCTTTGCATTGGTCACTGAATAAGGCTTTCTTATCTCTCCTTGCTATTCTTTGGAATTCTGCATATAAATGGGTGTATCTTTTCTTTTCTCCTTTGCCTTTAGCTTCTTTTCTTTTCTCAGCTATTTGTAAGACCTCCTCAGACAGCCATTTTTCCTTTTTGCATTTCTTTTTCTTGGGGGTGGTATTGATCACTGCCTCCTGTACAATATCATGATCCTCTGTCCATAGTTCTTCTGGTAGTCTGTCTATCAGATCTAATCCCTTGAATCTGTTTGTCACTTCTACTGTATAGTCATAAGAGATTTGATTTAGGTCATACCTGAATGGTCTAGTGGTTTTTCCTACTTTCTTCAATTTACCTGTGAATTTGGCAATAAGGAGTTCATGATCTGAGCCACAGTCAGCTCCTGGTCTTATTTTTGCTGACTGTGTAGAGTGTCTCCATCTTTGGCTGCAAAGAATATGATCCACCTGATTTCAGTATTGACCATCTGGTGATGTCCATATCTTGTGTTGTTGGAAGAGGGTGTTTACTATGACCAATGCGTTCTCTTGGCAAAACTCTGTTAGTGTTTACCCTGCTTCATATGGTACTCCAAAGCCAAATTTGCCTGTTACTCCAGGTCTCGACTTCCTACTTTGGCATTATAGTCCTGTATGAAGAAAAGGACATCTTTTTTGAGTGTTAATTCTATAAGGTCTTGTAGGTCTTCATAGAACCATTCAACTTCAGCTTCTTCGGCATTACTGGTTGGGGCATAGACTTATATTACTGTTATATTGAATGGTTTGCCTTGGAAAAGAACAGAGATCATTATGTCATTTTTGAGCTGCACCCAAGTACTGCATTTCAGACTCTCTTGTTGACTATGAGGGCTACTCCATTTCTTCTAAGGGATTCTTGCCCACATTAGTAGATATAATAATCATCTGAATTAAATTCGCCCATTCTAGTCCATTTTAGTTCACTGATTCCTAAAATGTCAATGTTCACTCTTGCCATCTCCTGTTTGACCACTTCTAATTTACCTTGATTCATGAACCTAACATTCCAGGTTCCTATGCAGTACTGCTCTTTATAGCATCAGAGTTTACTTCCGTCACCAGTCATATCCACATCTGGACGTTGTTTTCACGGTGGCTCTGTCTCTTCATTTTTTCCTGGAGTTTTTTCTCCACTTTTCTCCCATGGTTACTCCCAGGTAACCATTAGGTTCAACATTTTCAGTGCAATTTAATGGTACAAGGTTTGTTGCTGTTGTTGTTCAGTTACTAAGTCAAGTCTGTTTGTGATCCCATGGACTGCAGCATACCCAGCCTCCATGACCTTTACATCTCCTAGAGTTTGCTCAAACTCATGTCCAGTGAATTGATGATTCAGGGCAGGAAGAGAAGGAGGTGACAGAGGTCTGTCACCTCCTTCTCTTCCTGCGCTGAATCTTTCCCAGTATCAGGTTCTTTTCCAATGAGTTGGCTCCTCACATCAGGTGGCCAAATATTGGAGCTTCACCATAAGCATCAGTCCTTCCCATGAATATTCAGGGTTGGTTTCCTTTAGGATTGACTGGTTTGATCTCCTTGCAGTCCAAGGGACTCTCAAGAGTCTTCTCCACCACCACAATTTGAAAGCATCAATTCTTTGGTGCTCAGCCTTCTTTATAGTCCAACTTTCTCATCTGTACATAACTACTGGAAAAACCATAGCTTCGAATATCTGGACTTTTGTCGGCAAAATGATGGCTCTGCTTTTTAAATGCTGTCCAGGTTTGTCATAGCCTTTCTTCCAAGGAAGAGGATCTTCTCAAGGATAGACACAGAAAAAATTGAAATTTACATATATAGTCTAAATATAAAGTTTTTCAAGAAGTCTGAGTTACTATAAAAATGGCTTTGCAATCTTGCATTATCCTAAACTTAGTATTTAGACTGGGTTAATATACTACAGTGGTTTCCCTGGTGACTCAGCTGGTATAGAACCTGCCTGCCAATGCAGGAGATAAAAGAAGATGCATTTTTGATCCCTGGGTTGGGAAGATCCCCTGGAGAAGGAAATGGCAGCCTGCTCCAGTATTCTTCCCTAGAAAATTCCACAGTATTTTCTGTGTTAGTTTGTTAGAGATGCTGTAACAAAGCACCATAGACTGGGTGGCTTAAACAACAGAAATGTATTGTCTCACAATTCTGGAGGTGGAAGTCTGAGATCCAGGTGTGAGCAAGGTTGGTTTCTGCTGAGGCCTCTCTCCTTAGCTTGCAGACAGTGCCTTCTCCCTATGT